TGAAGGCTGCTAGAGAAGCAAACGAAAGGGACTCTGAAAGAAGTCGCACAATAAATCAACATGCACACAATAAGGAGATCAATAAGTTGCGTGCAGAATAGGACTGTCTAACAGATTTCATTAGAATTAGAGCATATTTTATTAACTGAGAACAAAATATATATCCCTTACAGTTTCCTGATTTTTAGAAATCAATCTAAGTATGTATTAATGCCTTTTGTAATAATGTTAATGAAAAAGGATAATTGCCATTTTAGATAATCATACCATTCGTTTCACAAAATTCAGTTTGGAAAGACATATAATATCCATATTTTTAATTGGATTACACTTGTGGCCGATAACTGGAAACTTGCATTCGATGCAAACTAGCCGTGTCTATATGATTTTCAAACAATTCCATGTAAGTCTCAGTTAGTTCAAAACCAGTATCAGTCAATTCGAGTCGATCTTCTATTGTTAAAGTTATCCTACATGTTTCTTCGATGATGCCCATTGTGTTCACAATTTGTCATATATCTTCAGACATGGTAATAAGGAGCATTTACATGTTATACAATGCTACTTTTCTCTGGTCCTCAGGTGAAGGCATTAATGGGATTTCTAGTATTACCATTCGTTGTTTAGCACATTGATAATCACGAATCATTTCTAATGCAGTCGTATCAAAAAGACGTCATTGCTTGTCTTCAAGAAATGGGATAGAATACTCTATAGGCAACTCATCCTGATTTTCCAAGTCACTGGATATTGGAGACTGAAAATAGAATATACCTAAATTATCTTAATATACTATTTAAAAACCAATGTGCATAAAAGTATTTAATAATAACCATAAACACTTCCTAAAACATATCCATAACCAAAAAAAAAAAAAACATAATTGCAACTAGTCTATCATAACAGGTTTGTCTACACTTGCTCCGGTGCCATCTTTTAGAATCTTATCTGCTTTCAATTTAAGTTTTAACACACTTTTTGATTTGTTTTCTTAATTTTATGGGTGCCTTTGTTGGTTCATTTGTTTTATCTTATTTTGAATATCAACATGGTCATCTATCTGCTAAAAAAAAATCCCAAAACATTTTAATACATTACCATAAAATTAAATTAGAATTATATTTTTTTTCGATTCTACCTTTATTGGGCGCAATTCCAAAAACTTTTGTAAATGGAATACAACTTCGTCGTCCGTAAAACCCTTTTTTTAACAACATCCACGCTAACTCGTCCTTGGACTAATATGGGTTATTAAACAGTACTTAGAAAAAAATTGTATATTATAAGTATTCCATATCATCATTCTGGAATAGATTATCAGGTTTTGGACAACGTTCATCATATTCCGGACCTACATTACCATTCCATAACCCCTATAATACCTAATTTTGGACTAAAACAACCAATCAGTAATACATTACAAAGTACTTACATAACATTCATACACGTACAACGACAAAAAGATAAAAAAAAAAGGATATTCTGCAGTTGTTCTTCGTGTTCCGAACCATTCCGAAATACGTAATTTGTTTAAGAAAATCAAATGCAAAGTAAGTTAAAGTGTGAAACTTACTCGGTTTGACGAATCCATGCTGAAAACTTGGTCCGAAATGTAGGTAGATAGTACTTCGGATCTACTAATTCCGGAACATGTATTCCAGATATTTTGTATGTGGGACCTATATATATATATATTATTGGGCTTGAGCTGGTTTTCGGGTCCATAATGACCTATTCGGGAACAAAGAATTATTTTTTTTAGAAGAAGATTGATTATATTTTAGTAAAAAAAACCCAAAAAATATTAGATGTCATTATAATATAAATGAAATGATGTTCCTACATATCGTATATTATATATCGTATATTATGTTGAAAGTCATATCGTATATTATGTTGAAGTCGTTTAATATTTCGATAAACGATAATTCATCATGCGAAACTTAAAAGATATTTGGTGTTTTTTCTCACTATTATTTTCCAAGATTATTATATATAATCTGTATGAACCATTTTATTATAACTTTTCTATACATACGATTTTTAGTTTTTTAGTATGTTATTATAATTTTAATGAAATGATATTCCTACATATTAAAAAGGGGTGAGAATGAACTAACTAAGTAAGATACTTGGGGAATTTGTAAATTGAAATTTATTTTGGTAGATTTGATTCCGGTAATTATAAGAGACAATATATATATATATATATATATATATATATATATATATATATATATATATATATATATATATATATATATATATCAAACAGTAAATATACATAATTTCATTCTTTTTGAGATGACATATTCTTATATATTATGATATGAATGAATTGAAGTGATGAGGTATATTTTACTCTCAACATATTATGATATTTTGTTTAAGCATAGTTAATTATATATGTTTTGTTTAGAATGAAAATCCAAAGTCAAAATTATGAAAATGAAGAAATATCAGAAATCTCCACCAATAAGGTATCACATTTAATTTTTAAAGCTAATTATATAAGTTTTGTATTTTTATATTGGAAGAATTTCGTATATACTCCTTTATAGTTATTTATTGAAATTTATATCGGTATAATTTTAACAAAATGTAAAATACTCATAACAAAATTCGGAATACCCATAACACCCTTACTTTTATTTTTTCTTCAAATTCGTTGAGAAAACTTTAACCAACAACATGTATAAACGAAGACTTTGTCAAAGACCAGGACCGGTCCATTATTTTTTACTACCTAGGGCGAGATCAGAATTTTATGCCTTTATATATGAAAATTTTACAAAATAAAAAATGCAGTAAATTTATAATTAAACAAACAATACAAACAAAAACCTATAAAAAAACACCTAAATTGATGTTTTTTTATAATTTTGAAGCGGAAACATCTTTTATTTTACGATAATCAATATTTTATAAAATCTATTCTATCTTTCTTGAGTCATGGTACTTCGGAGATACAATATCAAGAGCTTTAATGTTGAAAAACTTCCTTCCTTGGAAGCAATCACAACCAATATCGAGTATGCAACCAACATATTAAGGAACATATTCATTCTTCTTACAAACAAAAAAGTAGTCACAAAAACTAAGCAAAGAAATATTCAACACATTAGGGAACATATCGACTTTTAAGAATTCAAGATATTTGAAAAATAAACCAAAGAATCAAAAATAGGAATAAACTTTTTTAAAGTTACCGTCCAATAACAACAATTATATAAATTTATACCTCTCTAGAAACAAGAAAACAAAGCGACTGATTTTGAGCAAAACATAGTCGTCGGATTTCAATATAAACAAAAATCAAAAGTTCAATCAATCAGCCTCCTGATTTACATAACATCACAGAAACAATAAACAAAATCAAAAAATTTTAGACAGGTTGATGGCAGCAGATTTCAAGCTAAAAAAGAATGTAAAATCGAAATAAGAAGAGAAGTAAAAAACTAATCCAAATCACTTGAAGAGAAATAAGAAATCAGTGCTTTCCTTATCCAACTCCAAATACTCAAAAGAAATCAGATATGCCTCCTGATTTTGTCATTCACATCATAAAAACGAATCATTTAATCACATACAATAAAGAAAATCACAGATCAGATTCAATATTAGAAACAAACTAAGAACAAAATCGAAATTAGAACCAAACTTAGAGAAAATGAACTCAACCACTAACCCAAATCAGATGAACTGTTGAAGAGAAACCATAAATTAGAAAAAATACAAATACAACAGTTCCTTATTCCTGCTTTCGTTTTCCTCTTGCTTCAGGAAAGAAAAAATCGAACCCATTCGAACCCAATCAAGCACAGTGAGTGGTGATTGGTGAATCGTTGATCGGACTTACAATGAAAGGTTGAAAAAAAATTGAAATTGACGATTGAAATATTGAACTATAGCACAGCCAACAACTGGTTAAGAGAATAGAGAGATTTAGAATGAGAAACTGAGAATAAGAAATAGAAATCAGACCACAAAGAGATGAGATAACTAGGTTGCGATTACCGATTTAAACGATTGCAGTTCTCAAATTGAAACCATTAGGTTTCTAGGCGCGATAGCCGAGAGGACGTTTCGATTTTACATGCGCATTTGAATGCTCGGATACACAACGATGGTTGTTTTGTGCCTATCGATTGTCGTTCCCCTACTTTCTTGATCAAATCACAGATCACAAGTATGGGCTAATTTTTTTGGGCCATTATTATACACACTATAGATATTTTTGGACAATTTTATGCCCCTAGAATTTTGTTGCCCTGGGCCTAAACCTAAGTCGCCCATGTATTGGGCCGACCCTGTCAAAGACCCATCATGATTATGAAAATTTACAAACGTAATCTAAACTTTCTCATAAGATTTGATTTTCCACTCATCTTTATTTTATTATATAAAATGGGTAATTGATTTCATATGGGGATTTGATTTCCCACTAGTCAATAGCTAATAATAAAATTTTTAATTTAATTTATCTTAAAATAAAAAAAATAAAATATACAAAATTATTATATCCCTTATACTTTTTTATTTTACTAATTTATTAAAAGAAAACATAATCATTATAGCTTTTGTTTTTGTTTGAATGAAATTATAAAGTTCAAAAAAAGTGGCCTTCCTAGTTCCTTCTCCAGAATACTACTTTTTCAATCACTCTCAGCATTGGCATTACTAAACAACCATTTTCTTGATAGGGTTAGTCACTTCATCCAAATTTCACATAAACTTTACGCAACAAAGATCTGAATAGGAGATCCTTCGAGCCTTAACCTTCAATGGCCTCTTCTTCGATTGCATCCATTCAGAAAAGCTTTACATATGATGTATTTTTGAGTTTTAGAGGTGAAGACACACGCACCAATTTCATCGATCATCTTTATGAAGCTCTTAAGCAGCAAGGCATTTATACTTACAAGGATGATGAGGCAATTAGAAAAGGGAAAAGGATCAGTGATGAGCTCATTAGTTCCATTAAAGACTCAAAATTCTATATAATTGTTTTCTCGAAGAACTATGCATCTTCAGCTTGGTGCTTGGATGAGCTTGTGATGATAATGGAGTGTCACAAGACGACTGAGCATACTGCATACCCCATCTTCTATGATGTGGAACCGACAGAGGTCCGGAAACAAAGCGGGGCAGTCGGAAAAGCTTTTGCTAAACATGAAAATGATGAAGCTGCTGGGAAATGGAAAGAGGTTCTAAAAGAAGCCGCAGATCTCGCTGGATGGGAGTTGAAGAACACTGCAAATGGGTAATTCCTTCCTTCATCGATCATATCTTTGTTTAATTATTCTTTAATTTTGATCACAAGATCCCATTTTGGTCGATATAGCCTGGACCGGGTTGTTATACTTGACCCGATTTTGACCCGCCGGAACCCCTTTTTTCTTATCAATTTAAACCAAACTTACGACTTACGAATAATTCCTAATCATGTCCATTGTGACTCAGTTTCCAATTTCAATTTTCTAATAATTTCACAAAAGAGGTCTCTGTTTATTTATTTTTCCATAATTCAACCATAAAGAAAAAAGAGAAGTTATTTGAGCTTATCTGTTAGTTTAGTTTCCAATCTGCACGGTTATCACTATTCTATTATCATATCTCTGCAATATTCCTTCATTTTGTTTGTTAACAATCTATGTCTGAAAAGGTCATCCAAGACATCTCATGTTCTATGGTTATGCTATTATTTTATATACTTTGTATTTTATTATAATTCACGTTGGATTTTGAGCAAACTAACTGAATCTTCTTTAATATATAGGCATGAAGCCAAATTCATCCAAAAAGTTATTGAAGAAATTTCACTACAGTTACGTTCCATTGATTTCAATGCTGATGAAAAACTAATAGGCATGGAGACCAGGGTAAAGGATGCTGTATCATCTTTAGAAATTGGTACTGATGATGTTCGAGTAATCGGTATCAAGGGGATGGGAGGTGTTGGGAAGACAACTTTGGCTAGAGCGGTTTTTGATCAAATATCCCTTCGGTTTGAAGCTAAAAGCTTCATTGAGAATGTTAGGGATAATTCAAATACTTCTTTGTCAGGTTTGAAATCATTGCAAAATCAAGTCCTTAAAGATGCCTTATTTGATGATAAAGGCATCAATGTGAGTAGTGTTCATGATGGGAAAATCATGATGAAGAAGAAGATGCGTAATAAAAAGACTCTTCTTGTTCTAGATGATGTGGACCATATAGACCAGCTTGAGGCGTTAGCTGGTGATCTTAATTGGTTCAAACCGGGAAGTAGAATTATCATTACAACAAGAGATGAGCAGGTGCTCGTGGCACACCGAGTGAAGTTGATTCTTGATGTCAATCTGTTATCAAATAAGGAAGCGATTGGGCTCTTCAGTAGGTATGCATTTGGGGGAGAGATTCCAAATCAAGGGTATGAAGAGCTATCGAAACAAGTTGTACGGTATGCTGCTGGTCTTCCCTTAACAATAAAAGTTTTGGGTTCATTTCTTTGTGGTAAAAATAAGAGTGAATGGATAGATGCACTAGAAAGATTGAAAACAATTCCATTAAAGGAAACTCTTCAGAAATTGGAATTAAGCTACATTAGTCTAGAGGAAGATTACAAAGAAATATTCCTAAATGTTGCATGTATATTGAAAGGGTGGTCAAAAGACTTGGCGATCGTAGCGCTTGAAAGTTGTGGATTTCATGCAACAAATGGTTTAAGAGTTCTTGAGCAAAAATCTCTTATAACTATTAATCATTATAAGCGTGTGGGCATGCATGACCATATTGAAGAAATGGGCAGAAATATTGTTCGTCGTTTGCACCCAGATAAGCCTCAGAAACACAGCCGATTGTGGATTGATGATGAAATTAAAGATATATTGGCTAATGACTTGGTAAGGTCAAGTTTATTTGTAAGTTTTATGAAACTAGCATATTATTCATTTCTTATGGCTCATGTTTCGTAGTGACTGCTTTTACATTACAGGGTACTAAAGAAACAAGATATATACGATTCCAGTTAGGTGAAGGCAATTTTGAAATTGTTTTGAAGGGTCTTAGAAAGATGAAGAAACTTAGATTTCTTCACATGTCTCAGGATATAATGCATAATTTTGGTGGAGAATGGAAGTATGATAATGTCGGTCAATACTTTCCAAATGCTTTACAATATCTGCATTGGCACAAGTATCCTTTGTGGTCTTTACCCAACACATTTCAAGCAAATAATCTTGTTGTCCTTAAGATGGCTGAAAGCAAAATAGTACAACTTTGGGAAGGGGGAGAAAGAAAGGTAGATTAATTATGGTTGATTGATTGTTTTACATGATGCTATACATCCATTGCTTTGTAATTAAAGCAATATTGATCTTGTTCATTTGTTTATGTTAGGTTCTTAACAAGCTCAAGATTCTTGACCTCAGTTATTCAAAGTTGACGACCCTTGATCTTGGGTCTAGTCCAAATCTCGAGGCGTTGTCACTAAGAGGATGTCGTGACTTGGTACAACTTCACATGCTCAATGGATGTCCAAATCTCAAGTCCATCAACCTCAGTCATTCAAAGTTGGAGACCATTGACCTTCATTCATGTGTGAACCTCGAGGTCTTACATCTTAATGAGTGCAATGCTTTGGTAGAACTTCACATGCCTGGTAAATGTCAAAAGCTCAAATCCATCGACCTTAGCAATTCAAATTTGAAGACAATCGACCTTCACCCAGCTGTGAACCTCGAGCTCTTACATCTTAAAGACTGCAATGCTTTGGTAGAACTCCGCTTACCAAATGGGCGTCTAAAGCTCATATCTGATAACCTCAGTGGTTCTAAGTTGAAGACCATTGACCTTCATTCATGTGTGAATCTCGAGCTTTTACATCTTAAATACTGCCCTGCCTTGGTAGAACTTCACATGCCTGGTAAATGTCTGAATCTCAGATCCCTGACCCTCACTAATTCAAAATTGAGAACCCTACACATTGGGTGGACTCCGAATCTGGAGGATTTAGATCTTAACAACTGTTATGATTTGGAAGACCTTCACATGGCTGATAAATGTCTAAAGCTCACATCCCTCAACATTAGTCATTCAAAGTTGAAAACTGTTGACCTTGGGTTGACTCCAAATCTGAAGAAGTTAGATCTAAAAGAATGTAAGAATCTGGTACAACTTCATGTTCCCATTGGATGTCTAGAAAATCTTGTCTACTTGGACGTAAGTGGCTCTTTGGGGTTTACATCTTTTCTGTTTGACGAAAGGGATGCTGCTTCTAGTATAAGGGATGAATCAATCGAGGCTGGTCCTTTAGCTGAGTTACATCTGATTGCGGAATCCATAGAGAGATGCCCACTTCACCCCGACAATACTTTGCGAAAGTTTCAGTTTGAATGTTTTTACAAAGATGATCCCTCAGTGTCTGGGAATCTTGAGAAGCTTATTTCTGAAGGTCTGTGTGCTTGCACAAACCTTGAGACCCTTTCAGAAAGCATTTGTGGGTTACGACGTTTAAAAAGGCTTAAACTCGAAGGCTATCTGGAGGCTCCCAAGGACCTTGACAAGTTAGAATGTCTTGAAGAGCTATGTTTTTCTATGACAAATATGAAACATCTTCCGGATAGCATTTGTATGTTGAAACATCTGGAAATTCTTCAACTTAAACGTTATTGGAGTCTTGAGAAGTTACCTGAGGATCTTGGGCGATTAGAACGTTTAAAAAGTCTGACTTTGTCATCTGCAAAGATTAAACATCTTCCTGATAGCATTTGTATGTTGAAACATCTGGTATCTCTTGAGCTTACATATTGTTACTTTCTCGAGAAGTTGCCCGAGGATCTTGGCCAACTAGAATGTTTAGAGAAGCTATTTTTGTCGTATGCAAAGATCAAACATCTTCCAGATAGCATCTGTACATTGAAACGTCTGAGAACACTCGCTCTTTTTCGTTGTTGTTCACTTAAGACAATACCAAAGGATCTTGGCAAATTAGAACTTTTGGTAGAGCTAGATCTGTCATCCTCAATGATCAAACATCTTCCGGATACCATTTGTATGTTGAAATATCTGGAATGTCTCGGACTTGATGATTGTAAATTACTTGAGAAATTACCGGAGGATCTTGACCAATTAGAACGTTTAAAGTGGCTAGACCTAGGGAAGTGTAAGTTGTTACAAGATATCCCAATCGGCATCTGTAAGATGAAATGGTTAAAATGGTTAAATGTAGCAGGTACAAGCATAAGTTGTCTTCCGCATGACATTTGTTTGTTGAAAGGCGTGTTTATTTCAGGATCGAGAGACCTTCTTCAATCTTGTGGTTTTACATCTGAGATACAAACCTTCTGGTATGAAGATACTTGCTTCGTAGATGTGTGAATACCACAAGCAAAGAGTCTATTACGTACTATTATAGTCCCACATCATGATCCCGTATGTCTATTTTTTTTAGAGCGAAAATCTGACAACACAAATATCAATGTTAGTGTTCCACATGGTTTGGTATGTCTCCCTATATTTTCGATTCTATCATCTCTCCATGAGGACTCTTTTTGAGGGTATATGATTTTGAGATGCTCCCATGGCCTAGGAAAATCCTATTCACAAAGAACTATTCTAATAGGTGCTTTCTTTGTTTTCTGTTGATGATTTGAATTTTGAAATCAATGACTATAACTAATTCTCTTAGCAAAATTCAGTAATTGTACTTAAAAAAAATACTAGTACTACTATGCATAAAAGAAGAATCCCTGTTATAGTTTTATGCATAATAGTGCTAGTATTTTTTTTTAAGTACAAATACTGAATTTTGAATTTAGAGTCTTATATTAGAGTTAAAACCATCAATGTCTTGACAGATCCAAATACAATGTCAGAATTGATCAAGAATTAAATAAAAAAAATCATAGAAACACATGTGGATTTCATGCAAATTGTATTTAACAAGTAAAACTTGTATTCCCTTCTTTTTACCATTTTTTGCATCATTATTGTATTTGTGTTGCTATCGATCCTAACATTTACATAAATCATTTATTGCAATTTGGAATTTGATGTCAGGAAGCAATTGGAACAAATGAGAGGAATTTGTAAGGCTATCGGGAAGAGAAGGAAACGTCACAGGGTTTTGAGTGGGAATTGAATAAGTCAAATTGTCTTCATTAGAAAGTCTTGATGAAAATGGTGGGAACTTTGATATGAATTTTTCAATGGTCATGTTAATAATATGTTAAGGAACAGTTTTTGCGTAATTTGAAACCATAAACAGGTTTTTATTTACACAAAGTTGTTGGAAATTAGTATGTATTCATTAAACAAAAGATGTTTGACTTTTGAGTCAGACTATTACTTTCATCATTTACTGATTTTTTTCATAAAATAATATATGTGAGTGTTCTCATTTGAACTTAACTCTGTCATGTATGGCCGAAACAAGTGATATTATAAATATGATAAAATGATTACCTTAATTGACTGTGCACTAATTATTATAAAGGAATTAAAAATTTAGAATATACGCTCGTTTTGAAAAGATGGCTGCTAGTATGACATCAACAACACTTCATCGATCGTTAAATAGATAAATATCAGCATATTGATAAAGAGCACTTGCTATCTGTATTATTCTATTAATCTTTTTTATTTACAGAAAAGATAAATCATAGGGTAGGATTCTTTTTTTTTTAAAAAGGAAAATTATTGTTTTTCCTATCTTTGACAAAGGCCATTTTCACATTATTTTATTATAGAACACAACTCGTGGCCCTCATCCATGATTCATCGTTTGATTATATTTCAAAGCGATTATTTTGTTAGAAAAAGGAGCTAAGAGTTCTTACTACTTCTAGGACCATATCAGTAAAGGGGACAAAATGGTGATGTTACAGGGCAAATTGTTAGGATCATATATATATATATATATATATATATATATATATATATATATATATATATATATATATATATATATATATATATATATATATAAGTCACCGCCTTCTTTTACTTAAAAAAATTACTTTGAAGGGATTCATCTTTTATTTTTGTCTTGGACCTTAAATCAACTTGAATCGGTGTCCCTTCGGGGACATCCGATAAAACTGGAACGATACAGATGTTGAATCGGTTCTATCTGTTTGAACCCATAATTTCATTTAATTTTTTTTTTGGAAGGAGAGAATTTCAATATAGAGTATATAAATAATAAATATCAATACGATGGACATAGATTGTTGTCTAATTGCATATATGTAACATCTCAAACATAAGAGATCATCCAGGTTCATCCATTAGTGACATTATTAGACATTTAAGGCGTTTGATTTTTTTAGGTAAAATATATGCATTCTGTGGACCACATCTATAGACCTCTGCAGTAGAAGAGGTGGATCAAACGTTTGTAGTTTAAAAGAAGAAGATTGTTTTTTGACATCTACAGACTGATAGAATTAAATAAAATTTAATTAAACTGGTTAAAAAAACTTAAAAGAATTTTTCAATAATTTTATGACTTTATTATAGATAAATAAAAATGGAGATCAACTTTTATGTATTATTATATAAAAGTGAAAATAAAATTGTACTAATTAACATATATATTTGATAAAAACCAACAAACTTTGGTCGCAAAATTATACATAAACATTGTAATTAGAGATAAAAAAATTTAGGACATAAAATGGATGAAAATAAACTTTGAACTTGAGTAAAAATTTTCAAAATTTTCATTTTACCTTTTCAATTAAATATATTAAAAATTGGTCATAATCATTTTTCTCAATAAATAAATGATACTACATTAGATAATGTTTTATAAAGTTTGGCACAAAAACTATAAGACAATATTAGGATTTTTTTCGTATCTATATAAATAATTCCAACGACCATTATTGCAATTAAATCTTTATTTATAAATTTATCACAAATGTCATAATTGTGTCATCAAACCTTTTTCCTTAAATTATTGTAACTTTTTTTTTTCAAATTGTTTACCATACATAAATTTGGAATAAATCTAAGTTTAAAAAAAAAAAAAAAAAAAAGATATATGTGTTTTTTAGTCTAGAAGATGTTTTAAAACTGTGGTCCACATCTGTGCCGAGGATGCAAATACATTTTTAGGTCTATAGTCTTGAAAGAAAAACAAACAGTTTGCAAAGTCTAATGTCTGCGTGTGGTCTGCACGGTGCATACAGAAGAAGCCAAGTTAACATCCAAAAAATTTCAACCAATTAAAAACTTTTCAAAACAACCCATTTACTAATAAAAGTGTTTACAAAAGCATTGTTTCCAAAACATTATTTAAAAATCAGTGTCTCCCAAGATCAATGACATAAAATCAAGATGTGTGCGGTCACGCCTTCGCCTTTCCACGGTCCTCTAAAGTACATGAAACCATAAACTGTTGGAATAGTGTCTAAGGCTGCAACTATATTTGGAAAGTACTTGACCCGATTGAGAATGGTCCTTTTGGGTTGCCTTCACCATAGCAACTTGATAGGATGATTTACAATGAGAGTTGAAATATTATAAGGAATAATAATATTGTTATTTGATTAATATAAGTCATAAATTAATTAGGAATTAATTTGGTGACTTAAAGAGATTAATTAAATAGAAGGGCTTAAACTGTCAAGTGTGTGATAGTTATACTTCAGGCTATAATCCCTTATGGATAATGTGGTGGACGATTTTAGGGCTTAGGATAGACCTTAAATCCGTCCAAGGTTATCATGAAAAGGATTAGGATTGCTTAGGGCTTAAGTTATCCAATTAGGGTTTAAAGGTAAAACCCTAGGAGTCTTACAAGTATTAATAGACCCTTGGGGTCATGGAAATCGACACATCTTGTCTGTAAGGAAACCCTGGCCGATTTCTAAGTCCTTCCCACTCTCTATAATCATCCTCTTGCTAGTTGGAGTTTGTAAGTCATTAGAGGAGTGATAATTGTGACTCTAAAGCTCCAAGAACAAGAAGATCAAACAAGTGATTCAACGTAAACTTATAACTCTGATTTCTCAATGCTATTAAGATAGAATTGATCATTAGAAGTCTTGGATTCTTGCATGTTCAATTAGAGAAACCTAGATCCAAGCATTAGGGTTTGTATGTGCACATAGGAATGTTCATATAGCCAAAACCCATCATAAACCAAAACTGTAAGCACGAACCTTAGTGAGTTCCCCTAAAATACTACCACATAAATATAACAAATAACATATAGAACAGCATGCCGGGTCCAATCAACCATCGGCTTGGAATACCCCAACCCCAATCAACATCCGAGTCCAACCATCCTCAGGATGGAATATCCCAGGTTGGAATGGCAATACACTATGGGTCCAATCAACCATCGGGTTGGAATACCCCAGGCCAAATCAACCTCTGGGTCCAGTCATCCTCAGGATGGAATACCCTAGGTTGGAATGCCACTATACAACGGGTCCAGTCAACCATCGGGTTGGAATACCCTCGTGCCCAGTCAACCATCAGGTTGGAATGGTCCCGGTGTAACATCCTAAAATTCAAGTTCAAAATTTTTATTTTTGATTAATTAACTCATAAAAAATTCACTAGAAAATATTGTATAAACACGTCATCTCATGAAATCAAGTATCATGTTTGAAACCCACAACATAAACAAACATCCTATCAGAGTACAATCTCAAAAAACACCGTGCGGAAAATCAGATGTGTGTGTGATGCCATGCTATGCCGCCGGCTCCTTCCCCTTAGACGAAGAGGTACCTGAAACCAAAACTGAAACCATAAGCACAAAGCTTAGCGAGTTCCCCCATCATACCACATACCATATAATACCATCGGTATCTTTCAACTGGTAATCAACATCGGTATCTTTCAACCGGTAATCGTCATCGGTATCTTTCAACCGGTAATCGTCATCGGTATCTTCCAACCGGTAACTGGGGACTATTCCACCCCTTACCACTAGCATACAATAACAAGATATAAACATACAGTTAGGCATATCCAGGTACTAACCTACCCCTTGGTCCTAAGGACCACTATCAGGGAAACTATCCCTATCATGCACATAATACATCATACAGATACAACTCATACCCAAACACACACCAGACCAAGATAATTATCACAAAGAAAATCATCTTATAATACTCCTCATTGATGGGCCGGCATTGTGGCGTTTGACCCACCCCTACTGAAAGGTAACTCACCTCAAAAGGCTGGCTGCTGAAAAGTTGATCCGGTGATCCCCCCGACTATATTTCCATAAAATACTTAATCAGACATTGATACTATTCCCAGGGTAAAATGACTATTTTACCCCTGACCAATTCCAAACCAAGGTCAAGTCAAAGTCAAAGTTAACTTCCATTTGACCCGACTTGTCGAGTTGGCTCGCCAACTCGTCGACTCCATATCCAGTCGATTGTCTTTACTCCCGACTCTACTCGTCGAGTTAGGCATTGACTCGATGAGTTCACTTCCTAACTGATACTCAATGGTCCTTCGTCCAACTCACCGAGTTGTATGAACAACCCGTCGAGTTAATCTTCGTCCGATGAACACGTTTTATCGTCGACTCGCCGAGTTGATGAACAACTCATCGATTTCCATGAAGATTGCCTTGGACTCGCCGAGTCTGTTCATGCACTCGCCGAGTACCATGAATTTCCAGAACAATTCGCTTAGTCCAGAACGTTGGGTCACTCCCCAGGACTCCCTAAAACCTTTCCACACTCAACTGGTCCTTTTGACCCTCACAGATATGGGACAGAACCCTTGGACTCGTCGAGTCCAGGAATGGACTCGTCGAGTCGGTCACATCCCCTCCTTAAAACATTGATTTCTGATGTACAACACTTTTCCAAAAGATAGATCCAAGCCCCTAAACTCGATCTAGCACATAAAGTTACAAAATTTAGTTGCATGCATGGGACTTTTGAGCTTAAAAGTCTCTAAAATGGTTCTTTTGTTGCATGAGGCCTTCGTTGGGTGCAAAAGCAACCCAAATCTATCTTGTGACTTTAATATTGACATGATCCAGAAGCTCAAACCCCAACCATGTTTGCAAACATGGTTGGCCACCAAAAATGGCTTATAAAAGCCCTAAATCATCTCAAAGAGGGATCTAACAAATGAATGAGCAAGGTTCAGACTTTATACCTTCTGTGGACTGAAAATCATGAACCAAACTTGAATCCTTTAGTCTCCTCTTGATACTCCTATGCTCTTCCTTCCTCCTTGAGGTCAAAACTCATAAGAATCACTCAAAAGCCTTAGATTTTCTCAGGAACGGCTAGGGTTTGCTATGAGAAGTGTTTGGGAGCATAAAGGGGGAATGGAGGCTGTATAAGGCTGCTTAAATAGGGTGCAAACCCTCAGATTAGGGTTTTTGTCCAAACGGAGGCTACTCGTCGAGTCCAGGACCCGACTCGCCGAGTACATCACTTAAATCACGCGTCTCGTCCTGCTTCTACTCAGCGAGTTGGTCCTTCAACTCACCGATACCAATACCAAAAATGCAAAATAAATACAGATTTAACAACAGAATACGTACCAAGAACCAGGTGCTACACCTGGTTTGTTGGCTCATGTACATAGTAGTAAATCCTCAACCACCAATCAAAATATATGCACATATAACAAATAAACATAAAATCAGTCAACAGACAATCAATCAGGTCTACATATCACTAAACATAACATCATCTTATATACTAGGATACCGATCTAACAGATCACTACAACACGATAACATATAATCACATAAAAGGATATCCAATCCAATGGCCCGACCGTGGTGCCTTTGACCCGTAAGTATAGTGACGAAAACTCACCTCTTGATCTGATTAATAGCTGATGAGGTCCTAACTCTAAATCTGGGCTCTAACTGTCACCTATCCATCCAAATGACCAATTATCAAACACAATCCAACATACCCAAAATACCCCTTGGTCACACTTGGTCAAAATCAGGTAAAAGTCAAAATTCCAAAAATTCAACCGAGTCAACCCAGCTGAGTACACCCAGTGTACACGTTGGTTGACCAGGTATATGCCTGTTGACCACGTAAGAGCAACGTACGCCTTGTACGCCTAGCGTACGCAGCTGGCTGCCAAACCAACTCATTAAGAGGTTAATACTTAAGCTCTTAAGCCCATTTTCCAGATCCAAACCCAAAATGATGTCCTTGACCATAAAGTTTCCAACTTTTAATGACCAAAGCAATACCTATTTACTCGTGCCTATACAATCACTTATTACCTATTTCAGTTAACTGTTATCTTTTTCAAGAAAAAAGGTTATGTAATTTCTTTTAAATTTAGTTTATTGATATACTCGATGACAGTTAGTTAGTTATCACAATTAACAAATTCGAAAGAATAGGTTCAATATGATATTAATTCATTAGTTTTCTTAATTATTTGCTCAACCATTTATTGATTATATATATATATATATATATATATATATATATATATATATATATATATATATATATATATAATCTTTTATTTGTAGTGTTGTTAATTTTTTTAATTTTGTTTAGTTATGTCTAATAATGATTATGACACATTCATAGTCGGTGTTTGGGATTGCTTCTCAAATTAGCTTATTAGCTTATTGACTATTCAAAAAGTTAATAAGCTAGAAAAGTATTTGGATTGTTCAAAAATATTTTTTACTTTTTTCAAACAACTTTTTGGATAGGCAAAAATAAATGATTTTCAATAAGTTACAAAATTCTAGTTTTTTGATGAATTTTTAGCTTGTTAGCGTTTTCTACCACTTTTTACCTCTAAAAAAGTAAATCAAACACTTTTTAAAAGTATTTATTGTTTTTTGCCTTTCCTACCACAAAATCTAACCTAATTACTTTTTAAAACTTTTTTTTAATGCCATAAGACAATAATCATTTTTACCAAATACACTTTTCAGATTAGAAAGCACTACCAAATACACCCATAATAGTATTTTTAAAATTATGTTTTAAATTTTTGTCTTAATTTTATAAGTATTATACTTGTTTTATATGTCATACCCACCCGATAACCCAAACCTTTTAGATTATTTAACTTTGTCATTGTAATTAAACTGGACACACATGAGTTTTAATCTTGAATTCGTCACTGGATTCAACCTCTAGCTCTAATACAAGATACAATAAAACAATAGTTTATGTTTTTGCGAAAAGAAATATATGGTATTTTGTAACGAAAAACTCACACACCCATCTAATTATATTTATAAATTTATACTTTTAGTCCATAATACAATACATGTATACGACTTGAACATTTTAAGAGGGGCACATTTTTAGTAAATGATATATGTATTTGTACATACTATCTATAAATTATAAAATGCTTAATTTGCAATTAGAAAATACAAAAATAATAGAAGTATTAATGAATTTTAAAGAGGATATAAAATGACACATTTTTAATATTATTCTAAAAGAACCACTTTAGACAAAACAAACAACAAAAAAAAAAATGAAAGAGCGTATTCCTTTTATGTAATAATTAAGATAAAATTGCAAGAGTGGTCTTTATGGTTGTCAAAATTATGTGATTTTGGTCCAAAAAAGTTTGGTGATCCATCGGTGGTTCAATTTCAGATATTTTGTATGGTTTTAATCCATATGGTTGATATTTTTGTGTAGTTTTGATCAATACTCTACATGAAATGATAAATATGTCATTCATTACTTCTTTTATTTAACTTTTTTATTATTTTGATTAAAAAAAGAAAATAAAATCTCTCTCTCTCTCACATCATTCTCTTGCACCATTAACTCTAAATTGTGAAGATTAACTCCAAGTTCTTCCCCACTCACTATCGGTTTAGGGACAAGTTGGAAGGGGTAATGAAGAGCAAACTAAACCAAACTAAACCAGAATCAATAACAAAACTCAAATCGGTTTCCATAAAATCAAAGTGGTGGCTCCGATGAAATCTAAGGAAACAAGAAGCGAGAACAAGATCGAACCAGATCGTAGTTTGTATTTGTTGGTGGCTAACAATTCGATATTGGAAAATTGGAAAATCAAACATATTTGCATCCTCACCACCTGAAGCGAGAACAAGATCGAACCACATCTGATTGCCAAGTCCCTTAAAGAATGTCCGCTTCACCCCGACAATACTTTGCGAAAGTTTCAATTTCAATGTTTTTACAAAGGTGATCCCTCATCGACTGGAAATGTTGAGAAGCTTCTTTCTTTTGGTCTATGTGCTTGCACAAACCTTGAGACATTCTCAGAAAGCATTTGTGGGTTACGGCGTTTAAGAAAGCTTAAACTCGAAGGCTATCCGGAGGCTCCCAAGGACCTTGACCAGGTAGAATGTCTAGAAGCCCTAAGTTTTTCTAGGACAAATATGAAGCATCTTCCGGATAGCATTTGTATGTTGAAACATCTGAAAATTCTTCAACTTAAACGTTGTTGGAGTCTTGAGAAGTTACCTGAGGATCTTGGCCGATTAGAATGTTTAAGAAGGCTGACTTTGTTATCTGCAAAGATTAAACATCTTCCTGATAGCATTTGTATGTTGAAACATCTGGAAATTCTTCAACTTGAACATTGTTGGAGTCTTGAGAAGTTACCTGAGGATCTTGGGCGATTAGAATGTTTAAAAAGTCTGACTTTGTCATCTGCAAAGATTAAACCTCTTCCTGATAGCATTTGTATGTTGAAACATCTGGTATCTCTTGAGCTTACATATTGTTACTTTCTCGAGAAGTTGCCCGAGGATCTTGGCCAACTAGAATGTTTAGAGAAGCTATTTTTGTCGTATGCAAAGATCGAACATCTTCCAGATAGCATCTGTACATTGAAACGTCTGAGAACACTCGCTCTTTTTCGTTGTTGTTCACTTAAGACAGTACCAAAGGATCTTGGCAAATTAGAACGTTTGGCAGAGCTAAATCTGTCATCCTCAATGATCAAACATCTTCCGGATACCATTTGTATGTTGAAATATCTGGAATGTCTCAGACTTGATTATTGTGAATTACTTGAGAAATTACCAGAGGATCTTGACCAATTAGAACGTTTAGAGCTGCTATACCTAAGGAAGTGTAAGATTTTACAAGATATCCAAATTGGCATCTGTAAGATGAAATGTTTAAAATCGTTAGATGTAGCAGGTACAAGCATAAGTCGTCTTCCACATGACATTTTTTTGTTGAAAGGCATGCGTATTTCCGGATCGAGAGACCTTCTTCGATCTTCTAGTTTTTTATCCGAGATAAAAAACATAAGCGACAAAGATAACTGCTTTGTAGATCTGTGAATATCACAAGCCAGGAGTCTGTTAGTGTTAGTGTCCCACATCATGACCCTGTATGTCTCTATATATTTTGGAGACTACCCAATCATTGTAAGGGCTCTTTTGGAGCGAAAACATGACTGCACAAATATCAATGTTTGTGGGGGGGTGTTAGTGTTCCACATGGTTTGGTATGTCTCTCTATATGTTGGAGTCTATTATCTCTCCATAAGGACTCTTTTTGTGGGTATATATATGATTTTGAGATGTTCCCATGGCCTAGGAACCGAAAATCCGATTCACAAAGATCTATTCTAATAGTTACTTTCTTTGTTTTCTATTGATGATTTGAATTTTGAAATCAATGACTATAATTAATTCTCTTAGCAAAATTCAGTAATTGTACTTAAAAAAAATACTAGTACTATTATGATAAAAGAAGAATCCCTGTTATAGTTTTATGCATAATAGTACTAGTATTTTTTTGAAGTACAATTACTGAATTTTGAATTTAGAGTCTTATAGTTGAGTTAAAACCATCAATGTCTTGGCAGATCCAAATACAATGTCAGAATTTATCAAGAATTAAGTAAAAAAAATCATAGAAACAGATGTGGATTTCATGCAAAATTGTACTTGACAAATAAAACTTGTATTCCCTTCTTTTTCCCTTTTTTTGCATCATTATTGTATTTGTGTTGCTATCCATCCTAACATTTAAATCATTTCTTGCAATTTGGAATTTGATGTCCAGGAAGCAACTAGAACACATGTGAGGACTTTGTGAAGCTTTTGGGTACAGAAGGAAAGATCACAAGGTTTTGAGTGGGATTTGAATAAGTCAAATTACAATGAGATAGGATGAAGGATTCAAGTCATTGCGAGTTAACTAATTCATGGTTCTTAGTTATGAACAGAGTTGACTTCTTTAGAAAGTCCTGATGAAAATGGTGGGAACTTTGATATGAATTTTAAATGGTCATGTGAATAATATGTTAAGGAACAGTTTTTGCGTAATTTAAAACCATAAACAAGTTTTTATTTACATAAAATTGTTGGAAATTAGTATGGATTCATTAAACAAAAGATGTTTGACTTTTGAGTCAGACTATTACTTTCATCATTTACTTATTTTTTTTTCATGAAATAATATATGCGAGTGTCTTCTGGTGTTAGACTAAGCTATTGAATATGCTTAATAATAAGATTATTTGAAAATTACATATTTAAGAAAAATGTCTAAAGCTGTAACAGGGTTTGAAATAGCCATCTATCAGCTTCTGGCTGAAGCCATGTAATACTACTTCAAATACAAGCAAAAGACAAGTTCAAACATAATTAAGCTTATTATACGATATCAATATACAAATTACAAATGTTGTATGTCATGTATGGCTGAAACAAGAGATATTATAAATACGATAAAATGATTACCTTAACTAACTGTGCACTAATTATTATAAAGGAATTAAAATATTAGAATACACGCTCGTTTTGAGAATATGGCTGCTAGTATGAAATCAACAACACTTCATCGATCATTAAATAGATAAATATCAGCATATTGATAAAGAGCATTTGCTATCTGTATTATTCTATTAATCTTTTTTATTTATAGAAAAGATAAATCATAGGGTAGGATTCTTTTTATTTTTTAAAAGGAAAATTATTGTTTTTCCTATCTTTGACAAAGGCCATTTTCACATTATTTTATTATAGAACTCAACTCGTGGCCCTCATCCATGATTCATCGTTTGATTATATTTCAAAGTGATTATTTTGTTAGAAAAAGGAGCTAAGAGTTCTTACTACTTCTAGGACCATGTCAGTAAAGGGGACAAAATGGTGATGTTAGGATCCAATATATATATATATATATATATATATATATATATATATATATATATATATATATATATATAAAAGTCACCGCCTTCTTTTACTTAAAAAAATTACTTTGAAGGGATTCATCTTTTATTTTTGTCTCGGACCTTAAATCAACTTGAATCGTGTCTCTTCGGGGATATCCGATAAAACTGGAACGATACAGATGTTGAATCGGTTCTATCTGTTTGAACCCATAATTTCATTTAATTTTTTTTGGAAGGAGAGAATTTCAATATAGAGTATATAAATAATAAATATCAATACGATGTACATAGATTGTTGTCTAATTGCATATATGTAACATCTCAAACATAATAGATCATCCAGCTTCATCCATTAGGGACATTATTGGACATTTTAGGCGTTGTTTGATTTTTTTTTGAGGTAAAATATATGCAGTCTGTGGACCACATCTACAGACCTCTGCAGTAGAAGAGGTGGACCAAACGTCTGTAGTTTAAAAGAAGAAGATTGTTTTTTAACATCTACAGACTGATAGAATTAAATAAAATTTAATTAAACTGTTTAAAAAAAACTTAAAAGAATTTTTCAATAATTTTATGACTTTATTATAGATAAATAAAAATAGAGATCAACTTTTATGTATTATTATATAAAAGTGAAAATAAAATTGTACTAATTAACATATATATTTGATAAAACCCAACAAACTTTGGTCGCAAAATTATACATAAACATTGTAATTAGAGATAAAAAAATTTAGGACATAAAATGGATGAAAATAAACTTTGAACTTGAGTAAAAATTTTCAAAATTTTCATTTTAGCTTTTCAATTAAATCTATTAAAAATTGGTCATAAATATTTTTCTCAATAAATAAATGATACTACATTAGATAATGTTTTATAAAATTTGGCACAAAAACTATAAGACAATATTAGGATTTTTTTTTTCGTATCTATATAAATAATTCCAACGACCATTATTGCAATTAAATCTTTATTTATAAATTTATCACAAATGTCATAATTGTGTGATCAAACCTTTTTCCTTAAATTATTGTAACTTTTTTTTTTTCAAATTGTTTACCATACATAAATTTGGAATAAATCTAAGTTTTTTTTAAAAAAAAAAAAAAGATATATGTGTTTTTTAGTCTAGAAGATGTTTTAAAACTGTGGTCCACATCTGTGCCGAGGATGCAAATACATTTTTAGGTCTATAGTCTTGAAAGAAAAACAAACAGTTTGCAAAGTCTAATGTCTGCGTGTGGTCTGCACGGTGCATACAGAAGAAGCCAAGTTAACATCCAAAAAATTTCAACCAATTAAAAACTTTTCAAAACAACCCATTTACTAATAAAAGTGTTTACAAAAGCATTGTTTCCAAAACATTATTTAAAAATCAAAGTCTCCCAAGATCAATGACATAAAATCAAGATGTGTGCGGTCACGCCTTCGCCTTTCCACGGTCCTTTAAAGTACCTGAAACCATAAACTGTTGGAATAGTGTCTAAGGATGCAACTATATTTGGAAAGTACTTGACCCGATTGAGCATGGTCCTTTTGGGTTGCCTTCACCATAGCAACTTGATAGGATGATTTACAATGAGAGTTGAAATATTATAAGGAATAATAATATTGTTATTTGATTAATATAAGTCATAAATTAATTAGGAATTAATTTGGTGACTTAAAGAGATTAATTAAATAGAAGGGCTTAAACTGTCAAGTGTGTGATAGTTATACTTTAGGCTATAATCCCTTATGGATAATGTGGTGGACGATTTTAGGGCTTAGGATAGACCTTAAATCCGTCCAAGGTTATCATGAAAAGGATTATGATTGCTTAGGGCTTAAGTTATCCAATTAGAGTTTAAAGGTAAAACCATAGAAGCCTTACAAGTATAAATAGACCCTTGGGGTCATGGAAATCGACACATCTTGTCTGTAAGGAAACCCTGGCCGATTTCTAAGTCCTTCCCACTCTCTATAATCATCCTCTTGCTAGTTGGTGTTTGTAAGCCATTAGAGGAGTGACAATTGTAACTCTAAAGCTCCAAGAACAAGAAGATCAAACAAGTGATTCAACGTAAACTTATAACTCTGATTTCTCAATGCTATTATGATAGAATTGATCATTAGAAATCTTGGATTCTTGCATGTTCAATTAGAGAAACCTAGATCCAAGCATTAGGGTTTGTATGTGCACATAGGAATGTTCATATAGCCAAAACCCATCATAAACCAAAACTGTAAGCACGAACCTTAGTGAGTTCCCCTAAAATACTACCACATAAATATAACAAATAACATATAGAACAGCATGCCGGGTCCAATCAACCATCGGCTTGGAATACCCCAACCCCAATCAACATCCGAGTCCAACCATCCTCATGATGGAATATCCTAGGTTGGAATGCCAATACATTATGGGTCCAATCAACCATCGGGCTGGAATACCCCAGGCCAAATCAACCTCTGGGTCCAGTCATCCTCAGGATGGAATACCCCAGTTTGGAATGCCACTATACAACGGGTCCAGTCAACCATCGGGTTGGAATACCCTCGTGCCCAGTCAACCATCAGGTTGGAATGGCCCCGATGTAACATCCTAAAATTCAAGTTCAAAAATTTTATTTTTGATTAATTAACTCATAAAAAAATTCACTAGAAAATATTGTATAAACACGTCATCTCATAAAATCAAGTATCATGTTTGAAACCCACAACATAAACAAACATCCTATCAGAGTAGAATCTCAGAAAACACCGTGCGGAAAATCAGATGTGTGTGTGATGCCATGCTACGCCGTCGGCTCCTTCCCCTTAGACGAAGAGGTACCTGAAACCAAAACTGAAACCATAAGCACAAAGCTTAGTGAGTTCCCCCATCATACCACATACCATATAATATCATCGGTATCTTTCAATCGGTAATCAACATCGGTATCTTTCAACTGGTAATCGTCATCGGTATCTTCCAACCGGTAACTGGGGACTATTCTACCCCTTACCACTAGCATACAATAACAAGATATAAACATACAGTTAGGCATATCCGGGTACTGACCTACCCCTTGGTCCTAAGGACCACTATCAAGGAAACTATCCCTATCATGCACATAACACATCATACATATACAACTCATACCCAAACACACACCAGACCAAGATAATTATCACAAAGACAATCATCTTATAATACTCCTCATTGATGGGCCGGCATTGTGGCCTTTGACCCACCCCTAATGGAAGGTAACTCACCTCAAAAGGCTGGCTGCTGAAAAGTTGATCCGGTGATCCCCCCGGCTATATTTCCATAAAACACTTAATCAGACATTGATACTATTCCCAGGGTAAAATGACTATTTTACCCCTGACCAATTCCAAACCAAGGTCAAGTCAAAGTCAAAGTCAACTTCCATTTGACCCGACTCGCCGAGTTGGCTCGCTAACTCGTCGAGTCCATATCCAGTCGATTGTCTTTACTCCCGACTCTACTCGTCGAGTTAGGCATTGACTCGATGAGTTCACTTCCTAACTGATACTCAATGGTCCTTCATCCAACTCACCGAGTTGTATGAACAACCCGTCGAGTTAATCATCGTCCGATGAACACGTTTTATCCTCGACTCGCCGAGTTGATGAACAACTCATCGAGTTCCATGAAGATTGCCTTTGACTCGCCGAGTCCATTTATGCACTCGCCGAGTACCATGAATTTCCAGAACAATTCGCTTAGTCCAGAATGTTGGGTCACTCCCCGGGACTCCCTAAAACCTTTCCACACTCAACTGGTCCTTTTAACCCTCACAGATATGGGACAGAACCCTTGGACTCGTCGAGTCGTTCACATCCCCTCCTTAAAACTTTGATTTCTGATGTACAACACTTGTCCAAAAGATAGATCCAAGCCCCTAAACTCGATCTAGCATGTAAAGTTACAAACTTTACGTGCATGCATGGGACTTTTGAGCTTAAAAGGCTCTAAAATGGTTCTTTTGTTGCATGAGGTCTTCCTTGGGTGCAAAAGCAACCCAAATCTGTCTTGTGACTTTAATATTGACATGATCCAGAAGCTCAAACCCCAACCATGTTTGCAAACATGGTTGGCCACCAAAAATGGCTTATAAAAGCCCTAAATCACCTCAAAGAGGGATCTAACAAATGAATGAGCAAGGTTCAGACTTTGTACCTTCTGTGGACTGAAAATGATGAACCAAACTCGAATCCTTTAGTCTCCTCTTGATACTCCTATGCTCTTCCTTCCTCCTTGAGGTCAAAACTCATAAGAATCACTCAAAAGCCTTAGATTTTCTCAAGAACGGCTAGGGTTTGCTATGAGAAGTGTTTGGGAGCATAAAGGGGGAATAGAGGCTGTATAAGGCTGCTTAAATAGGGTGCAAACCCTCAGATTAGAGTTTTTGTCCAAACAGAGGCTACTCGCCGAGTCCGGGACCCGAATCGCCGAGTACATCACTTAAATCACGCGTCTCGTCCTGCTTCTACTCAGCGAGTTGGTCCTTCAACTCGCTGAGTCCAATACCAAAAATGCAAAATAAATACAGATTTAAGAACAGAATACGTACCAAGAACCAGGTGTTACACCCGGTTTGTTGGCTCATGTACATAGTAATAAATCCTCAACCACCAAACAAAATATATGCACATATAACAAATAAACATAAAATCAGTCAACAGACAATCAAGCAGATCTACATATCACTAAACATAACATCATCCTATATACCAGGATACCGATCTAACAGATCACTACAACACGATAACATACAATCACATAAAAGGATATCCAATCCAATGGGTCGACCGTGGTGCCTTCGACCCGTAAGTATAGTGAGGAAAACTCACCTCTCGATCTGATTAATAGTTGATGAGGTCCTAACTCTAAATCTGGGCTCTAACTGTCACCTATCCATCCAAATGACCAATTATCAAACACAATCCAACATACCCAAAATACCCCTTGGTCACACTTGGTCGAAATCAGGTAAAAGTCAAAATTCCAAAAATTCAACCGAGTCAACCCAGCTGAGTACACCCAGTGTACACGTTGGTTGACCAGGTATAGGCCTGTTGACCACGTAAGAGCAACGTACGCCTTGTACGCCTAGCGTACGCAACTGGCTGCCAAACTAACTCATTAAGAGGTTAATCCTTAAGCTCTTAAGCCCATTTTCCATATCCAAACCCAAAATGATGTCCTTAACCATAAAGTTTCCAACTTTTAATGACCAAAGCAATACCTATTTACTCGTGCCTATATAATCACTTATTACGTATTTCTGTTAATTGTTATCTTTTTCTAGAAAAAAGGTTATGTAATTTCTTTTAAATTTAGTTTATTGTTATACTCGATGACAGTTAGTTAGTTATCACAATTAACAAATTTGAAAGAATAGGTTCAATATGATATTAATTCATTAGTTTTCTTATATATTTGCTTAACCATTTATTGATTATATATATATATATATATATATATATATATATATATATATATATATATATATATAATCTTTTATTTGTAGTGTTGTTAATTTGTTTAATTTTGTTTAGTTATGTCTAATAATGATTATGACACATTCGTAGTCGGTGTTTGGGATTGCTTCTCAAATTAGCTTATTAGCTTATTGACTATTCAAAAAGGTAATAAGCTAGAAAAGTATTTGGATTGTTCAAAAATATTTTTTACTTTTTTCAAACAACTTTTTGGATAGGCAAAAATAAATGATTTTCAATAAATTACAAAATTCTAGTTTTTTGATAAATTTTTAGCTTGTTAGCGTTTTCTACCACTTTTTACCTCTAAAAAAGTAAATCAAACACTTTTTAAAAGTATTTATTGTTTTTTAGCCTTTCCTACCACAAAATCTAACCTAATTACTTTTTAAAACTTTTTTTTAATGCCATAAGACAATAATCATTTTTACCAAATACACTTTTCGGATTAGAAAGCACTACCAAATACACCATGATAGTATTTTTAAAATTATGTTTTAAATTTTTGTCTTAATTTTATAAGTATTATACTTGTTTTATATGTCATACCCACCCAATAACCCAAACCTTTTAGATTATTTAACTTTGTCATTGTAATTAAACTGGACACACATGAGTTTTAATTTTGAATTCGTCACTGGATTCAACCTCTAGCTCTAATACAAGATATAATAAAACAATAGTTTATGTTTTTGCGAAAAGAAATATATGGTATTTTGTAACGACAAACTCACACACCCATCTAATTATATTTATAAATTTATACTTTTAGTCCATAATACAATACATGTATCCGACTTGAACATTTTAAGAGGGACACATTTTTAGTAAATGATATATGTATTTGTACATACTATCTATAAATTATAAAATGCTTAATTTGCAATTAGAAAATACAAAGATAATAGAAGTATTAATGAATTTTAAAGAGGATATAAAATGACACATTTTTAATATTATTCTAAAAGAACCACTTTAGACAAAACAAACGACGAAAAAAAAAATCAAAGAGCGTATTCCTTTTATGTAATAATTAAGATAAAATTGCAAGAGTGGTCTTTATGGTTGTCAAAATTATGTGATTTTGGTCCAAAAAAGTTTGGTGATCCATCGGTGGTTCAATTTCAGATATTTTGTATGGTTTTAATCCATATGGTTGATATTTTTGTGTAGTTTTGATCAATACTCTACATAAAATGATAAATATGTCATTCATTACTTCTTTTATTTAATTTTTTATTATTTTAATTAAAAAAAGAAAATAAACTCTCTCTCTCTCTCTCACATCATTCTCTTGCACCATTAACTCTAAATTGTGAAGATTAACTCCAAGTTCTTCCCCACTCACTATCGGTTTAGGGACAAGTTGGAAGGGGTAATGAAGAGCAAACTAAACCAAACTAAACCAGAATCAATAACAAAACTCAAATCGGTTTCCATAAAATCAAAGTGGTGGCTCCGATGAAATCTAAGGAAACAAGAAGCGAGAACAAGATCGAACCAGATCGTAGTTTGTATTTGTTGGTGGCTAACAATTCGATATTGGAAAATTGGAAAATCAAACATATTTGCATCCTCACCACCTGAATCGATTTTTATGTGTGACACTCAAACCCAAAAATCATTTTTTTCGGATCCAATGAACTGCCCTTCACCACCACTTAAATTGATTTTTGTGTGTGAAACTCAAACCAAAACAAACAACAAGATCTAGATTCAAAACAGAAGGGGGGATGCTGAGAGGAGATGAAATCGACTTTGATGATCTTTTTCCCCAATCCAGACCTAAGTATGTGTTGATTTCCATATCTTCCTTTGTTATCAACTTACAGAAGATTCGAATCTGATTGCCCCAATCACCTCCATTAATGTTGTCCGCGTTTTCTTCTTCAAACTCGATTGTAGGTCACACTTAAGAGGACGAATAAATCGACCCATTATTTTTTTTTCTTTTTTTTGTTTGATTACAGACGACACATCTTTATTAATCACAGCCCCTCATTCTTCAACCTCATTCTTTCTTAATGTTTTTTTGAGTTGCAGTTTGATCAGAAGATAAATGGAAGAACAATGCAGATGGGGATGATGGGTTCTCGATGGCGGTGATTTTTCATGGTAGGTTGAAGATGAATATGATGGTTACTGTGTGAAGGCTTAATTTTTCTAGGCACAATTGATGATTTTTGGTGGTGGTTATGGTGGTGACCAAATGATCTGCTTTGATAGAGAAGGGAGAGAAGTACGGGGCGTTCTTCATGTTCTTAAAGGAAGGATCTGCTTTGATAGAGAAGGAAGGGGAGTACTGGGCGTTCTTCATGTTCTTAAAGGTGGATCTGTTTGTGAGAGAGAGTAAGAGAAGCGTGTATATTTTATTTTTAAGTAATTAAAATATTAATTTAAATAAAAATATAAATAAAACAGATATAAAAGGTATAATAAACTTTTCAAGGTGATAGACAGTTAGACACCCATAAAATACGAAAAATTTAAATTTAGACCAATGATTATCCATAAAAAAAAATAAAAAATAAATAAATAAATAAATAAAAATACAAATAAAAAAAAACGGGGACCAAAACGAGAAGCACATTCCCCATTTTGTAATTTTGTAATTTTGTAATTTCGTAATTTTGTCAATAATTAATTAAAAAAAATGGACCAAAACGAGAAGCACATTCACCATTTTGTAATTTTGTCAATAATTAATAAATTTTTTTCCGGATAAAGATCCAAAAAAGTGGCCTTCCTAGTTCCTTCCGCAGATACCAACTTTTCAATCACTCTTCGTTGGCATTACCAGACAACCAACCATCTTCTTGATAGGGTTAGTCAACTCATCCAAATTCACATAAACTTTTAGGCAACAAAGATCCGAATAGGAGATCCTTCAAGCATTAACCATCAATGGCCTCTTCGTCAGTTGCATCCATTCAGAAAAGCTTTACATATGATGTATTTTTGAGTTTTAGAGGTGAAGACACACGCACCAATTTCATTGATCATCTTTATAATGCTCTTCAGCAGCAAGGCATTTATACTTACAAGGATGACGAAGCAATTAGAAAAGGGAAAAGGATCAGTGATGAGCTAATCAGTTCCATTAAAGACTCAAGATTCTATATCATTGTTTTCTCCAAGAACTATGCATCTTCAGCTTGGTGTTTGGATGAGCTTGTGATGATAATGGAGTGTCACAGGACGACTGAGCATACTGCATACCCCATCTTCTATGATGTGGAACCGACAGAGGTCCGGAAACAAAGCGGGGCAGTCGGAAAAGCTTTTGCTAAACATGAAAATGATGAAGCTGCTGGGAAATGGAAAGAGGTTCTAAAAGAAGCCGCAGATCTCGCTGGATGGGAGTTGAAGAACACTGCAAATGGGTAATTCCTTCCTTCATCGATCATCATATCTTTGTTTAATTATTCTATAATTTTGATCACAAGATCCCATTTTGGTCGATATAGCCTGGACCGGGTTGTTATACTTGACCCGATTTTGACCGGCCGGAACCCCTTTTTTCTTATCGATTTTAGCCAAAGGACTTAGGAATAATTCCTAATCATGTCCATTGTTACTCAGTTTCCAATTTCAATTTTCTAATAATTTCACAAAAGAGGTTTCTGTTTTTTTTTCCCCATAATTCAACCCTAAGGAAAAAAGAAGTTATTTGAGCTTATCTATTAGTTTAGTTTCCAATCTGCACGGTTATCACTATTCTATTATCATATCTCTGCAGACATCTCATGTTCTATGATTATGTTATTATTTTATATACTTTGTATTTTATTATAGTTCACGTGGGATTTTGAGCAAACTAACTGAATCTTCTTTAATATGTAGGCATGAAGCCAAATTCATCCAAAAAATTATTGAAGAAATTTCACTACAGTTACGTTCCGTTGATTTCAATGCTGATGAAAAACTAGTAGGCATGGAGACCAGGGTAAAGGATGTTGTATCATCTTTAGAAATTGGTACTGATGATGTTCGTGCAATCGGTATCAAGGGGATGGGAGGTGGTGGGAAGACAACTTTGGCCAGAGCGGTTTTTGATCAAATATCCTTTCGGTTTGAAGCTAAAAGCTTCGTTGAGAATGTTAGGGAAAACTCAAATATTTCTTTGTCTGGTTTGACATCGTTGCAAAATCAAGTCCTTAAAGATGCCTTATTTGATCAAAGCATCAATGTGAGTAGTGTTCATGATGGGAAAATCATGATGAAGAAGAAGATGCGTAATAGAAAGGTTCTTGTTGTTCTAGATGATGTGGACCATATTGACCAGCTTGAGGCGTTAGCTGGCGATCTTAATTGGTTCAAACCAGGAAGTAGAATTATCATTACAACAAGAGATGAGCAGGTGCTCGTGGCACACCGGGTGAAGTTGATTCTTGATGTCAATCTGTTATCAGAGGAGGAAGCGATTGGGCTCTTCAGTAGGTATGCATTTGGGGGAGAGATTCCAATTCAAGGTTATGAAGAGCTATCGGAACAAGTTGTATGCTATGCTGCTGGTCTTCCCTTAACGATAAAAGTTTTGGGTTCATTTCTTTGTGGTAAAAATAAGAGTGAATGGATAGATGCACTAGAAAGATTAAAAACAATTCCATTAAAGGAAACTCTTCAGAAATTGGAATTAAGTTACATCAGTCTAGAGGAAGATTACAAAGAAATATTCCTAAATGTTGCATGCTTAATGAAAGGGTGGCGGAAAAACTTTGCAATCGAAGTGCTTGAAAGTTGTGGATTTCATGCAACAAATGGTTTAAGAGTTCTTGAGCAAAAATCTCTTATAACTATTAGTAAGTATTTGGGCATGCATGACCATATTGAAGAAATGGGCAGAAATATTGTTCGTCGTTTGCACCCAGATAAGCCTGAGAAACACAGCCGATTGTGGATTGATGATGAAATTAAAGATATATTGGCTAATGACTTGGTAAGGTCAAGTTTATTTGTAAGCTTTATGAAACTAGCCTATTATGTATTTCTTATGACACAAGTTTCATGGTGACTGCTTTTGGGTTACAGGGTACTAAAGCAACAAGATATATACAATTCCGGTTAATGGGATGCAATTTTGAAATTGTTATGAAGGGTCTTAGAAAGATGAAGGAACTTAGATTTCTTCACATGTCTCGGGGTATAATGCATACTTTTGGTGGAGAATGGAAATATGATAATGTCTTTCCAAATGCTTTACAATATCTGCATTGGTACTGGTACCCTTTCTGGTGTTTACCCAACACATTTCAAGCTAATAATCTTGTTACACTTAAGATGGAATGGAGCAATATCAAACAACTTTGGGAAGGGGGAGAAAGTAAGGTAGATTAATTATGGTTGATTGATTGTTTTACATGATTCATCATGATGATATATATACATCCATTGCTTTGTAATTAAACCAATATTGATCTTGTTCATTTGTTTATGTTAGGTTCTTAACAAGCTCAAGATTCTTGACCTCAGTTATTCAGAGTTGACGACCCTTGATCTTGGGTCTAGTCCAAATCTCGAGGTGTTGTCTCTAAGAGGATGTCGTGACTTGGTACAACTTGACACGCTCAATGGATGTCGAAAGCTCAAATCCATCGACCTTAGCAATTCAAAGTTGAAGACAATCGACCTTCGCCCAGCTGTGAACCTCGAGCTCTTACATCTTCAAGACTGCAACGCTTTGGTAGAACTTCACATGCCTGGTAAATGTCTGAATCTCGTATCCCTGACACTCACTAGTTCACAGTTGAGGACCCTACACATTGGACAGACTCCAAATCTGGAGTATTTAGATCTTAACAACTGTTATGATTTGGAAGACCTTCACATGGCCGATAAATGTCTAAAGCTCACATCCCTCAACATTAGTCGTTCAAAGTTGAAAACCCTTGACCTTGGGTTGACTCCAAATCTGAAGAAATTAGATCTAAAAGAATGTAAGAATCTGGTAAAACTTCATGTTCCCATTGGATGTCTAGAAGATCTTGTCTACTTGGACTTAAGTGGCTGTTTGAGGTTTACATCTTTTCTGTTTGACGAAAGGAAAGATGCTTCTAGTAGAAGGTATGAATCAATCGAGGTTGGTCCTTTAGCCGAGTTACATCTGATTGCCAAGTCCCAAGAAACATGCCCACTTCACCCCGATAATACTTTGCGAAAGTTTCAGTTTGAATGTTTTTACAAAGATGATCCCACATTGACTGGGAATCTTGCGAAGCTTCTTTCTTTTGGTCTATGTGCTTGCACAAACCCCAAGACATTATCAGGAAGCATTTGTGGGTTACGGCGTTTAAGAAAGCTTAAATTGGAAGGCTATCCGGAGGCTCCCAAGGACCTTGACCAGGTAGAATGTCTAAAAGAGCTATGTTTTTCTATGACAAATATGAAACATCTTCCGGATAGCATTTGTATGATGAAACATCTGGAAATTCTTCGACTTAAAGATTGTTGGAGTCTTGAGAAGTTACCCGAGGATCTTGGCCGATTAAAATGTTTACAAAGTCTTACTTTGTCATCTGCAAAGATTAAACGTCTTCCCGATAGCATTTGTATGTTGAAACATCTGGTTTTTCTTGAGCTTAGTGATTGTTTCTATCTTGAAACGTTACCCGAGGATCTTGGCCAACTAAAATGTTTAAAGACACTATATTTGTCGTATGCAAAGATTGAACATCTTCCTTATAGCATCTGTATGCTGAAACGTCTGAGAAAGCTCACTCTTTTTCGTTGTTCTTCACTTAAGACATTACCAAAGGATCTTGGCAAATTAGAACGTTTGGCAGGGCTATATCTGTCATCCTCAATCATCAAACATCTTCCGGATACCATTTGTATGTTGAAACATCTGAAAAAACTTGTTCTTGATGATTGTTCATTACTTGAGAAATTACCAGAGGGTCTTGACCAATTAGAACGTTTAGAGCAGCTAGACCTAGGGGAGTGTAAGATTTTACAAGATATCCCAATCGGCAGCATCTGTAAGATGAAATGTTTAAAATGGTTAGATGTAGCAGGTACAAGCATAAGTCGTCTTCCGCGTGACATTTGTTTGTTGAAAGGCGTGTGTATTTTAGGATCGAGAGACCTTCTTCAATCTTGTGGTTTTACATCCGAGATAAAAACCATACACGACAAAGATACCTGCTTCGTAGATGTGTGAATACCACAAGCCAAGAGTCTATTAGTCATTAGTGTCACTATTTATGATGGAGTCTACCCTATCTCCATAAGGGCTCTTCTGGAGAGAAAACCAGTGACTATGTATAGAGTATATTGTCTCTTTGTAAGGGATCTTTTGGAGGGAATATGATTTTGAGATGCTCTGAAGGCCTAGTAATTCACAAAGAACTATTCTAATAGGTACTTTCTTTGTTTTCTATTGATCATCTTATTTTGATTTGAATTTTGAAATCAATGACTATAATTATTTCTCTTGGCAAAACTCAGTAATTATACTCAAACAAAATACTAGTAGTACGCATAAATGAAGAATCTCTGTTATAGTTGTATATGCTTGGTTTTATAGGGTAGCTTATTCACCGTTTGTGTTGAGTTTAGAGTCTTATTCGACTTAAAACCATCAATTCATGTCTTGGCAGATCCAAATACAATGTTAGAATTGATCAAGAATTAAATCCAAAAAAATCCTAGAAACAGATGTGGATTTCATGCAAATAGTACTTATCAAGTAAAACTTGTATTCCCTTCTTTTTCCCATTTTCTTCATTATTATTGTATTTGTGTCAGGATCGATCCTAATATTTAAATCATTACTTGCAATTTGGAGTTTTATGTCCAGGAAGCAATACAAAATTGTGTAGAGAAGAAACATCACAAGGTTTTGAGTGGGAATTAAATAAGTCAAATTACAACGAGATATATAGGACGAAGGATTCAAGTCATTGCGAGTTAATTCATGGTGCGTGCTTAACAGCGTTGACTTTTTCATTAATACAAATTGTAGTCTTGATCAAAAAGTGTCGGATTTTGATATTGTTTTTTGAATAATGGTGTTAAGTGCTGTACGATGACAAACAAGTTTTTATTTACTGAAACATATATGTTCCAAATTGCAAATTAGAATGAATTCATTTAACAAAACATGCTCGACTTTTGAAAAAACTATTGACTTTCATCAAACTGCAAATGCTTAGCTTAAAGGAGTGTAAACTTTTACGATATCCCAATCAGCATCTGTAACTGTAAGATGAAATATTTAAAAGAGTTAAATGTAAAAGGTACATGCATAATCATCTTGCTCAGAGGATTAGTTGGTTTAAAGGTCTGAATAATTATGCGTCTTATATTCGAGAACAAACCTAAGAGGTAATTTGCCCAACGACTTTGTAAAGGTAATTGGTAGAGATGGAAGAATATCACAAGGTTTTGAGTGGGGGTTGAACTAATCAAAGTACAAGGAGATTGGAGGAATGTTTCAAGTCACTATGAGTTGATTCGTGGTGCTTAGTCAACAGAGTTGACTTCTTCAGAAAGTCTTTGATGAAAATGGTGGGAACTTCGATGTGAATTTTTAAATGATCATGTTAATAGTATGTTCATGAACATTTTTTGAATAATTTAAGACCATAAAAAGTATTTATGTACACAAAATTGTTCAACATTGGTATGGATTCAAAAGATGTTTGACTTTTCAGTCAGAGTGTTACGTTCATTAAATTTACTGACTTTTTCATGAATTTGTATAGAAGAATATATGTGAGTGTTTACTAGCTAAATCAATCATTAAATAGATAAGTATCAGCATATTGATAAAGTGCATTTGCTATCTGTATTATTCTAAAAGGATGTTTGGGATTTTATTTTGATCAATTTTTAGACACAAGAAATGATTTATGTTGGTTTGAAAAAGTGTTTTTAAAAAAACGTTTGGATAAAATTTTATGATGTTAAAAAAGTCAAATAAATTGTTTTTTAAAAAAGTATTTGTGATTGCTAAGGGTATTTTAATTTAATATTGAATTTTACAACTTTAAATTTTGAAATTATATGAATGGTCCCCATAGTTTTGGGAGAATATGCCTAAAAACATTTTTTAACTCGGTTTATTGTTTCTTTTTTGTTGCGCGTACGACCCTTTTCCATTTTTTTTTTATTTTTCATTATTTAAATAATTATTTATATTTATTAATAAAAAAAGATGGGTCACTCACTCAACTACTCCTTCCCTAACTCCTTTCCATATCTTTGTCAGAAATACCTCACCGGACCACTCAATCCCACCCCTTAACCTGAATCCTTCTCTGGTAAAACAATCTTCCCTCCAACCTGCAAGCAATTCATGACAAGTAAACATGAAATTTATGAAACTCATATACGATCTAATTACAAAAAGAACCCAGATATAATCGATTAAATGAAAACACTAATACAATTTACTAACAAAAAAAATCACCATCAGAATCAAATATCAAAGCAACCCATCAATGTTCTCTGGGTTCATCTTCTCCAATCCATCAAGATTAGGAAAAAAAATCAATACAATTATCTTAGGATGAAATCAAACCTGATTAAAAATCCTTAAATCAAAATGTACACTAACAACATGAAGGAATTATTAAACCAAAAGTGAAGTAGTCGTAACTACCTCAAATCCTACCCCTCGCTTACTTCAGTTACTTGTCTGATCTCATCTGTGTATCCCAAACAGAAACTCATGTCTCTTTAAATTGGGGTTGAAACTTCTGAGATTCTCTGGAAGGAACAAACCATAGCAATTAAAGTGGTTTACCGATAACATATGGTGTCGAAGATGGTGGATTTAGATCAGATATCGTGGGTGGAATCAGACGTTGAAAGAGGGACGATTGAAGTTGAAGGTGGGGAGTGGCGGTGCTGGTAGACTTCGGCAGAGTGACGGTGGATCGATCTCATGCCATTCTTCAACAAAACAAGAGATAGAGTGACAAAAAAAAAAAAAAAGAAAGATATTATAGGGACGTTGGGACTGAAATTTTTTCTTGATTTGTGCAAATCTTAAATCGATCTCAAAACCTAAATGCATCTTCCACTGTAATATGGATTTTTATCGTACCCTTCACCTTTTTTTGCTTCTCTCTATTTTATCTTTGAAGAACCTACTGAATCAAACCGAAGATGCATCTTTCTCTTTTCTCTCTTCTATCGTCGGCAGGCTTCCATCACCACAACCCACCTGTCAACGCCGCTGCGACCTGGATGAGGATTATTGACCATCGCTTATCCCATTACTGTCAAGGAAATCGATAACAGCCCGTTCCTAACCAAGGAAAGGAAATAGATGAAAATGAATAGAAAATAGAAGAAGTTGGTGTTTCCGAATTTCACTGAAGAGAGAATTGGAAAGAAGTGGAGGGAAATGGAATGATTACTTTCCCTCCTAACTTTCTTTCCGATTTTGGAGGATTTGGAAAGAAAGAACAAAATGATTCATTTTCCTTCCACTTTCTCTCTAACTCGGGAACACAAAAGAAAATTTTGTTTTCCTTTCTTTTCTCTCGTGATTTTCTTTTCTCTTCTCTTCTTTTCTTTTGTTAAACTTGGAAACGAGGCGTAAGGGAAGTTTGTGTTTAGAACGGATGAACAAATCGATGGATGAAGTGTGTGTTTTAGGCATTGCGTTAATGTATTATAAGAAGGGAAAATACGTTAATAGCCAAAAATAATAATAATAATAATAATAAAAGAAAATGCAGGGTAATTTTAAAATTTAGATATGAAAATGGATATTTCTGGGTGTAGACATGCATTCCGCGGAACTACCTCCGCAAAATCTACTGTAGCTCCGCGGAATGGCAAAATTGTACTTAAATCAACGTAAAAAAAAACTCAAGATCTATTTCGCGGAACTACAGTAGATTCCGCGGAGGTAGCTCCGAAGAATGGATCTTGAGTCTTTTTTTTTTTTCATCGATTCCTCGGAATTTATATTCATTACCCAACTAATTATTTTCAAAAAAATATTATCATACTATCATAATCTTTCTTCTTGAAAATAATTAGTTGGTGAATAAATATAAACCCCGAAGAATCGAATACGGAAAAAAAAAAAACAAAAACAAAAAACAAAACAAAACTCAAGATCCATTCCTTGGAACTACCTCCGCGGAGCTCCAAGGAATGGATCTTGAGTTTTTTTTTTTTTTTTTTTTTTTTTACGTTGATTTAATTACGATTTTGCCATTCCGCGGAGCTACAGTAGATTCTGCGGAGGTAGCTCCGAGGAATGGATCTTGAGTTTTTTTTATTTTATTTATTTTTATTTATCCTGCATCGATATTTCGGAGTTTTTATTCATTACCCAACTAATTATTTTCAAAAAAAGATTATCATACTATCATAATCTTTTCTTGAAAATAATTAGTTGGTGAATAAATATAAACCCCGAAGAATCAAACCCGAAAAAAAAAAAAAAAACTCAAGATCCATTCCGTGGATACGTTGATTTAATTACGATTTTGCCATTCCGCCGAGCTACAATAGATTCCGCGGAGGTAGCTCCGAGGAATGAATCTCGAGGGTTTTTTTTTTTTTTTTTTTTTTTTTTTTTTTTTTTTTTCCGGGTTCGATTCTTCGGGGTAATTTCAAAATTTAGACATGAAAATGGATATTTTTGGGTATAGACATGCATTCCGCAGAGCTATCTCCGCGGAATCTACTGTAGTTCCGCGGAATGGCAAAATCGTTATTAAATCAACGATATATATATATATATATATATATATATATATATATATATATATATATATATATATATAATATATATATATATATATATATATATATATATAACTCAAGATTGAATGGATCTTGAGTTATTTATTTATTATTTTTTTTTCCGGTTTCGATTCTTCGGGGTTTATATTTATTAACCAACTAATTATTTTCAAGAAAAGATTATGATAGTATGATAATCTTTTTTTGAAAATAATTAGTTGGGTATTGAATATAAACTCCGAAGAATCGATACGAAAAAAAAAAAAAAAAACTCAAGATACATTCCGCGGAGCTCCGCGGAATCTACTGTAGCTCCGTGGAATGGATCTTGAGTTTCTTTACATTGATTTAATTACGATTTTGCCATTTCGCGGAGCTACAGTAGATTTCGCGGAATGCATGTCTATACTCGGAAATATCCATTTTCATGTATAAATTTTGAAATTACCCCCTATTTTTTGCTATTATCGGTATTTTCCCCGTAGAGGGTAACGGAGAATTTGGTAAGAAAAGGCGGTCAACGATTTCCAGTGGGGTAAGAGGGTAACAGAGAATCCGGTAAGAAAAAAAAATTGAAAGAGATAATAAGCGGTAGTGGTGGCTCAATTTCACATCATCTTTTATCATGAAAATAATATATAATAAAAAGAAAAGTAAAAATGATATAATTGTCTTTCTCTTTCTAAGTCGATCAGGGACTAAACGCGCAACAAAAAGAAACAATAGGGACGGTCTAAGTTAAAATAAATTGTTAGGGACCAAACATTCAAATTACCCTAAACCATAGGGACCATTCGTGGAATTTACCCTTCTAACTTCTTTTAAAAAGGGTGTTTGAGATTCCTTTTAGAATAACTTTTATCTTTTAATTTTTTCTAAAATTAAAAAAAAAAAAAAGTGTTTGGATAGTTTAAAAGTTCTTTTAGAAGAAAATGAGGAGTTTCTAAAAGTCATAAAAACTTGACTTTTTGTTGTTTTAGATGTAAAAGTTAAACTAAAAATCTTTTTGTTAATCGAAACACATTTTAAAGAACTTATTTTGCAAAAAGTAATTTTATAAAAAGTCATTTTACAAAAAGGACTTTTGATGTTCAAAAGTAATTTCAAACACCTCTTAAAAACTCATTTTTAAAGGGTTAAGGAGAAGTTGTTTTAAAAATCATTTTCTTTTTACCAAATATTTTTTTGATTTATTGACTTTTTTAAAATCAATAAGTCTATAAGTTGTTTTGAGATGAAATCTCAAACACCCTAACTTTTTGATAACCACTCCAATTAATTAGGTCTCCTCTCACCTACAACTATTTGATCACCAAACAACAGAACTCCAAGGTCTTTCATCTATTGTACAAGAGAGAATAAGTTAGATTTATAGCAAAGATATTTATAGCAAAGATAATTTATAGGGTAGGATCTTTCTCTTTTTTTTTTTTTTTTTTTTTTTTTTTTTTTTTTTTTAAATATTTTCTTTAAAGTAAAAAAAAAAAAGACATTTTTTTCATCGTTCCCTAGTAACTTTTAAGTTTGGTTTTAAAATGTCACTATTTTTTTAGTGTTGTGGATGCTTAAACTTTTAAATAAGGGATTGAATAAGGGATTATCACCAATTTAACTATGTTAACAAGTTACAAATCATATGTAGCATGTGAATCGGCAATGATGAATCCACGTGGGCTCGTCCACATGTTAATAAAGTTTATACGAGAGACAAAACCGATTTCCCTCACATTTACGAGTACTCCTCATTTACACACATTGAGGAGCATTTAGGGTTCTATATGAAGCATAGAAATGATTCACTTACCTACATTCAAATAGATCCACTTACTATGTGTAAATGAAAAAAAAGTTATCTCAGATGATGGCAAATGATCAAAGGCCTCCATGGTATCTCAAAGTTGACATACTCTTTGACGTGC